TTTACCTCTGGGTAAATATATTTTTATTAGAAAAATATTTTTATTTGTACAATTAGTTGGGCTCTGAAACGCCAATCAAGGCTCAACTTGAATTATATCATTTGGTAAATTAGTGGGTTAACTTGACCGGATACAGTGATGAACAGTTAGCATCCGGCCTTGGTGGAGCAACATTTTTAGGGTTTAATTGGGCTTTTATGCATTATTCTGTAATTGCAATATTTTAAACAAATAATATGAAAATTTAAATATAAAAGGGTTGTGTTTATATATGCATTTTGTAATCAATATATCTTGTTGAAAAACGAACAAGTTTGTATACAAAAGTAGACTTCCAAAGGCTTTCTAAAATATTGTGGAAGTTTCAGACTAGAAATTATTTGGCAAGCTTCTGGACTACGATAATGAAGCTGACAGATCTTCACCATTAATTTCTTGCTTAGAGAGAAAATAACAATTCGTTAGGCTATTGAATATCAAATTAGAACATGAAAATTAAATGGTGTGTTAGATTCCAGTTTTTTTCTTTTTTTCAAATCTCATTTCTGTCATAACCTATTTTTGAGAAATGTGACTAGTGTAAGGGATAGATGAGTTAACCCTAGTAAGCCTAGCAGAACAGACAATCCTACAAAAATTTAGGGAGAATTTCATTTAAAAATCGGATATTTCAAAACTCATATCAACCTCCATAATACAAAGAAAAAACTATTGTTTTGGTACAAAATATTTTTTTTATTAATTGAGTACATCAATATTTAATTATTATAAAATTTTGTACATCTGGACATCTGTATTAAAGTTAACTAATGATAATTGAACATGTATAAAAGAATGCTTAGATGGCAAATGATTTGATTACGTATTATTTGAACACCATTATATTGATATATGAAGATTGACTTTTCATTAATTTAGTACATTGAATATTTTTCCTATCAATTTTATGAATCAAATATGATTTTTCCTATTAATTCAATATATCAAAGATTCATATTATACTAATTTAGTATATAAAAATGTGTCATTTTATAAATTCAACACACCTTACTAATTAATTCTAATTAGTGCAGTAAACATAAAAAACTAAATGGTGCACCAATCAATTTAGTAAAAAATATTAATAGGTAACAATGTAATATAATACATTCTAAAATATCAATTTTTTTATTAACCAATTCTTCTTGCAATTCAAAATGACAAAAATTAGAGAAATTTAAATAGATGTCTATACTTTGCCATCAAATTTCAGCACACAATCCCAAAGTGCAAGTATTCAAAATACATTTTCACTTTTGTTCATTACCCTGCTATTTTCTTTATTATTGACACATTGCTGAGATCCCACCATTTCTGCAAGTCTCTTTCTACTTCTTTGACTTAAAACTTAAGTGTCTCCTTTGAGATGTAACTCCTCCTCCGAGAGTTAAATGTGGGTGCCCTCATTCTTCTTGGCAATTTGCAATGAGTTATGTTTTGGTTGCTAACAAGCATGCTTCCTTTGCAGCTGTGAGGATAAGGCACTGAATAAGATAATATAGGAATGGTTGGGAAGGTTTGAGTCACACGAGTGGTCCAAACATGTTTTAGAAAGTACCCAAGAAATGACACACTAACTAACAATATATGCGAGTAATTTAATGCAAAAATTGTCATATTTAGAGACAAATCATTTAAGTATAATTTTAATTATATAGATTTTTATAATATAATATACTTTTGATTTGTGTGATGTGAACATCATGATTTTCTTCTCCTACAGAAATTGCAGTCTTAATTAACCACCACTAGTTGAAGAGCCATGCGATGATTGGGCTTTGGTTTGTATAAAAAATATTATAATTTTTTAAAACATATTTTTAAAAATTATTTTTAATTACACGTAAAAGTTATACTTGCACAGAAATCAGATTTTTCTCCAATAATTTTTTTATTACAAAACAAAATATTTGACAAAGAAACAAAATTGGTAAAAGAACCCAAATTAGATACTCAAAAAAACAGAAGGAAAAGAAATAGAAAAGTTAATAAATGAAAAAGGCCTTCGAATATGAAATGGGTTGAATCCTATGTATGTATATATCAAATTTTTTATTTCTCTTTATCTTTTTGGTTTTTTGAATATTTAATTTGGGATAATATATATATATATATAGAGAGAGAGAGAGAGAGAGAGAGAGAGTGGTGTCCTTCCCCGGGGGGTCCAATAAGAAGCCAAATAATGCAATTAAATATATAAATAAAACAAAAACAATATGGAGATATGTCTTCTGGGTAAGATATTAACAAAGCACATCAGGTAATCTTCCAAAGTCGACTTTCCGTGCCGACTCCTATTGTTTGTGTCTTGATATTTTTTTTTCAAAGCACATCACTAATATTTTTTTCCCCTTATACTGTATTAAGTTGCACATAATCTTCACGTTTTGAAATATTATGACGATATTTACAATCGTATATATATAGTGACACGGCACGAAAGTGATCAAAATAAATTTAATTATGTCAAATTTTAAAATAAATACTTATACAATTCTTTGGCCTTATAATTTTTTTAATTTTTATTCAACATAAAACATCGATGGTTAAATAGTCTTTTATAAGGTGGTTGTATTTTTATTTATGATAAAAAAATCTTAAAAAAAAGAAATGTGAAAAATTACAAAAATATTAAAAATATAAAATGAGTTGAAACTCTATTTTAGAAGCCAATTTTGAAAAAAAATATTTAAGTTGAAATAATCTTAATATAATTGCATAGTTGTGATTTTTTAGAGTGTTCCAAGCATCTTACCGATCTTATAAGTTCTCACATATAAAAAATTATAATTATTTAAAAATTATTATAACAACTCAAGAGTTATAAATTCAAATGATTCAATAATAATTTTTATAAATTTTTATATAATATGATTGTGTACTTATAAATTAATGTAAAAGGAGATATCAAAATCCCTTTCACCTAAATAGTTGACGTTCTTGTCAAAACAAATATCCAAATAAAGAAACAGACAAAATATATATGAGAATCATTTGCTCTAATATCACGGGAATCCCAATTTGTATCCAAGTAGAAAAGAAACATAATAAAAGTGCTATGAGAATACTTCTCTCTAATACCATTTATAGCGATTTTAGAGTTACTGATTCTAGTAACATATTGAATTTGAATTACAAGTTTAAAATACTTAAGTTCAATATATTTAGTTGTAAATTGTGAAGACTTATGTATAATATGATTTTGTACGTGTAAACCAATATGGGGTACAATCATAAAACGGCCGCTTAATTTTTAACAGTTTAAATGATAGAGGAATCTTAAACCATATATTTTACGACACAATAATGCATTCAAGTTACAAAATTTATAATTAATTGGTAAATATGTTTGACTTACAATTTTGACATAGACGAAAGCACTAACAAGCAAACAAGGGGATTGGAGTTATTACAAATGTAGAAAATGTTTTTTTTTTTTCTTTTAAATGTAAATGTGATTGTTACGAAGACTTCAACTATCTCATAAATCCGGTTTGAATATTTTGCTACAAAGACATTGATTTCCTCTGGTCTTCTGTGCAGCATTCAAAGACATTGGTGATGTCACCAAATCCAAATTTAAGTCAGAGGTTGCTGCATGTTGACTATGAGGTTTTGATTTTCTTATAATTAATTATTCTTTATCCGAACCTTAATACATATCTTTAAAAATATTATTGGAAATTATATATATATATATATATTTTAAACAAGCCAATCATATGCTAAATTTAAATGCTGTCACGATTAAATAAAGTTACACAAATCTTCTGGAGTGTGTCAGCATCTCTTAGTTACAATGGCTGGGTTTGATTGGTGCCAATCTACTCATTGGTTTGTTTGAGCTTTTGTAACATAAACCCAGCCTTTGATTCAAAAAATTTAACGTTACAAAAAATTCTCTCTTTAAGATGTAACAATAGCGTTTTCCAAGTTTAACAATCGTTTGTAATGCATACAATTTTTTTTTTTTTTAAACTTAAAATTTTGCAAAAAAATGAAAAATTATACGATAAATTATTCACAAATTTAAAAATTTTAAACGTATTTTTTTAAAAGTAAAAATGGAGTTCATTGCAAACGATACGATGTGTTATCTGCTAAGATACAACCCCCGCCCAAAACCAGAAACCTATGTCCGCCTTTTTGTCTAAGTTTTTGATAACCAAGCCAAATGCCATGGATTGATTGAGACCATGGTCTGTGCATGGACCGTAGGACTAGAGTAGCAGATTTCTGCCCATAATCGACCACACGTCATGTAAAATCTGCCCTCAGCTCCCAAACAAAATTCACGTTGGTGGAGGAATAGAGACATCGTTATCCGACAAACCTTAACAGAGATGTTCAGGCCGAGGTGACCATGAAACCTTCCGAGTTTGAACCATCTATATGATTTTTCCACCCCATGTGAAAATTTTGGCAAAAGTAAAAATTGGGCTTTAATCTGTTTAGACAAGAGATTAACACTCCTGTTCCATTCATCCAAGCTTAAATTAATTTTCTCTTCCTTAAATACAAATGACAAAGTCCTTTTTTTTAATGAACTAAATGTTACCAAAATGCAACTTAATTAATTAATTAGTCTTTGGTTTCGAAATGCAATTAGAAAAGTCAAAAAATTATGTGCATTTATTGAAGAATTAACAATAAATGCATCATGAATAATCTTAAGATTATTAGTACATGGGAAAATCTCCACAAGAACCCACAATGTCAAAGGCTGATTGGATTAGGAATTTTCAATTCATATTTTGCTTTCAAATTTCAATAGTCAATGAAAGGCTTCTAGCAGCGGTTTGCGTGTTCCTCTCATCTCTATCATTTTCTTCCCGTTCATGCTCTAACCATCCATGTTTTAGCCATGCATGTCGACATATGTATTCCTATAAATACCCAATCCAAAAGCCCCCTATACAATCATAAACTCAAACCTTGTTTCGGAAAATGGAAACTTTAAGCCTTGCAAGATTTTCGTTTCTTTTACCTCTTCTTCTTCTTCTTCTTTCTGCTTCACTTGCTGCTTCTAACTCCATCCCCAATGGCTTCCTCCAGTGCCTTGACAACAATTCTCTACCCTCCTATCCGACCTCTGCGGTTATCTACACTCCCAGCAACTCTTCCTACTCTTCTGTCTTGCAAGCTTACATTCGAAACCTCCGTTACAACGAGACCACCACCCGAAAGCCACTCTTCATTCTCACTGCGACCCACGTCTCCCACATCCAAGCTGCCATTGTCTGTGCCAGAACCTATGGCGTCGAGATGAAAATCCGATGCGGTGGCCACGACTATGAGGGGATCTCATACTGGTCCGAGGTTCCATTCTTCATCCTTGACTTGTTCAACCTCAGATCCATCAGTGTCAACATAGAAGAGGAGACTGCTTGGGTTCAGGTTTGTTTAGCTGTTCATGTTTGTGTTATTTTAAGATTTAAATTTGCACAATAATGCAAATAGAAAACAATTTATTTAATTTTTTAATATCTCTATTAAAGCTTTTTTTTTCCTTTAAACAATTTTTTTTTTTTTTTCCTACTTTTATTACGGCATACAACATACTAAATATAACAATAAAACATAAAATTTTCATTTTATGAATGTACTTTAAATATATTTATAATAATTTTTATTTAATTTTATTTTTTATTTTTGGTCTCAATTCTATTTTATTTTTTATCCTATTCTCCTTCCATAAAAAAATAATATTATCATAATATATGGTACCTAAAATTTTTAAAATAGATTAAAAATTGGGTAGGTTATGACAATATATAAATAATGTGAAATAAGTCACTGCACCATTTTATTTTAATCTTTTGTAATATAACAAAATTTTACATTGTCATGTCAACATAAAAATTATTGTACTAAATTGTACATAAAATTTTAAATTGTCATGTCAATATAAGATATTGTTTTATTTTTGTTTTTTATGACACAATATTAAATTTTTTTATGTCATCGTATATGGAATGCCTGGCAAGTAAATTCTAAAGAAATGGATCAAAGTTAGGTTGGTTTCGTATATAGCATGAATTTTATTATGACTTAAATATAATACTACTTAAATTAAACATTAATATAACCAATTTGTAATTAAAGATGCTAATTTTAAAAACAATATAAATTTATGAAACAAAATACGAAAACAACACAACATCACATAATTGGAACTCTTTTTTAAAAATTATTGACATGATTCACCTAATTTTTATTAAAAATTATTGACATAATATATTAAAAACTCAATATATTAATTAAAACGGGCACAAATATGGCACCCCTCTAATCAACATTACAATAAATGAACATATATTTTCACCCTACCTCCAATTTTAGGGACCAAGCCAAGTGTAGTGGTTGGAAACATGGTTTTCCAAGCCTCCAAAGCTATTAAGTAAATGTTTTCGTAGGAAAACTAGAGAAAGGTTGGCCCCAGAAATATTATAAACCAAAAAGTGACCACTGCAAATTTTTTCTTTCAGATTTCTGACTTTGTCAGAGTAATAAATTAATAACAATAATTAATTGTATCTGTTCTTAACAAGGTTGGAGCCACTCTTGGGGAAGTCTACTACAGGATTGCAGAGAAAAGCAAAACCACGGCTACCCGGCTGGAGTCTGCCCCACTGTAGGCGTTGGAGGACATATCAGCGGCGCGGGTATGGTAACATGATGAGAAAATACGGCCTCACCGTGGATAACGTCGTAGATGCACAGATAATTGATGTCAACGGCCGGATTCTCGACCGAGAATCCATGGGAGAGGACTTGTTTTGGGCTATCACAGGAGGCGGAGCTTCTAGCTACGGCGTTGCCCTTGCCTACAAAATCAAGTTGGTGAAGGTCCCAGAAATAGTTACTGTTTTTAATGTCCAAAGAACATTGGAACAAAATGCAACCGATCTTGTTTATAAGTGGATGCATGTTGCACATAAGTTGCCTGAGGACATATTCATCAGACTCGTAATGGACGTAGTCAATGGAAGTAAAACCGGAGAAAAAACGATACGAGCTTCGTTCTTTACCTTGTTCCTAGGAGACTCCGAAAGTGTGATTGCCCTCATGAACAAAAGCTTCCCTGAACTGCGTTTGCAGAAAAGTGATTGTACCGAGATGAGTTGGGTCGAATCAGTCCTCTATTACACTAGCTTTCCCAGTGGAACGCCTGTTGAAGCTTTGCTTAGCAGAGTTCCTCAAGTATTAACTCATTTTAAAAGAAAATCTGATTATTTAAAAGACCCAATTCCTAAGGAAGGATTGGAGTTCATATGGAAGAAGATGATCGAGCTGAAAACGCCGTTTTGACCTTCAATCCCTACGGCGGAAAGATGGCGGAGATCTCTCCAGCGGCTAAACCATTCCCACACCGAGCAGGCAACATTTGCAAAATCCAGTATGCCACGAATTGGGTCGAAAATGGGGTTGAGGCCGCGAATTATTATGTGAATTTGACGAGAAAGCTCTATGATTATATGACTCCATTTGTGTCCAAGTTTCCTAGGGAGGCTTTCTGGAACTATAGAGATCTTGACTTGGGAATCAACGACAATGACCAGAACAGTTATCTTGAAGCAGCAAGCTATGGGATTAAGTATTTCTTGGGAAATTACGAGAGGTTGGTGAAAATAAAGACCACGGTTGATCCTGAGGATTTCTTTAGAAATGAGCAAAGCATCCCGGTTCTTCCATCCTTGAGGAGGTAAATTGAAGACATCATGCAGTAATGATGAAAGTAAAAACTAATAAAAATATTTGATTTTTTTTTTTTACTGTTTTAATTCTTTTAAAATAAAACTTGGGTGTTCCTTACACCACTTTACAGTGATATTAAAGTTTAAAAGACACAGTAATAAAAATCATAAAATGGTTTCTTTCTTAATCTGAAATATTATAGATGGATCCTAAGTTGTTGAAAAAGCTGGAATGCATGCAAAAATATTTGTACCGGGAGACTAATTATCCAATCTCCAAGCTTATCTAATCTGGTGCTTATCTGAGTTTATAGAAATTTATGCAGAATCAGGAGACAAAGTTCATTTTACATCAAAAATGTAGAAGCCAAAATCTACATGTATACATACATACATGTATATATATATATATATATATATGTACTATGAAATTGTGAAAGAGAGAGAGTTAGTTTGTCTTGCTGCATTTATTAAAAAAAGCTGTGTGCTACTCTTAACTTTTAATTGAGAAAAATTATCTGTTATTTTACTTAATTAATAGTGAAAAATTTACCTAGAAGGAGCAGATCCTATAGTTTTTCTACAAGGAATTTTTCATGAAAAAATTCTGAGATTCGTCTTTTATATCTTTTCTAATTTTGCAACCAACAATTTGTAAGGAAAAAATTATGACCACTAGTAAGGTAAGTCACACCAGTACAGTAGTCCTTTCACCTGGTGTCTAGGACCAATGTGAAGCAAATAGGAGTGGATTATTACTGGAACGAGGCGACAAATTATACGTCCTATGAGGACCACTGGAATTAATAAGTACAAGAGGCCGCTTGAACTTTATGAGGCAGCGAGGACCACTAAAACAGATAGGAGCCAAAGCCTGCTGTCCAGCCTGGTTTAGAATAGAGTTGTGAAGGGTTTATATTTAGATTAAATTAAGTATGTTTAAGGTTAAATTTAATTAATAATTATTTTAATTAAATTTGATTTAAAATTTTATAAAATTTATAATTATTAAATCATATTTGAATATGACGGATAATCTGAAATTTGATACGAAAATTTGATTGGATAAGAAAATAATCATCTTTTATATTTAAGTCATTTAATTCTATTTTATCAATTATATTATCTCTTAAATTTTTTTAATTTTTTAATTTAGTTCCTATAAGTTTGAATTTTTTAATATCAGATATATATAATTATTAATTTAATTAAAAATATTATTAAAATTTAGTTTCGAATCTTTAATGAATTAGATTGCTTAATGCTATATATATTTCACTTGTTTCGGATTACAGAAATTTATAATTGAACTTGATCCATCAAATATTTAATCAAATTCGAATCTTAAATTTTAAATTAGATTCAGATCAGATTCGGATTAAAATCTAAACAATTGAGAACCTTAGTCTAATTTGTTGCCACTAGTTTGTGCAATAGTTAACGGTTCTTTTTCATAGAATATTCTATTCTTATTTTTTATAGTCATTGCTTTTTAAAAAAATTTATTGATTTCATTTTTACATTTTAATTTTTTGTGAACCAGATTTTATCTATTTTTTCCTTCATTTAAAATAATAGTTTGATATTTCAATAATAAATTTTGTTATCAGCTTATGGGTCATATAACAATTACATTTAACTAGATATTATTTTTTGTTCTATTAGATATTGGATATCCTTTAACATTAATATATTGCTTTCTTATTGTTAATTATTATAAAAATAAAATATAATTTTATTTAATTTGTATAATTTATTAATTTAATATTAGTTCATATCCTCAATAAAAAAAAACTTACTGTAAGAATAATTGTAATAAAATTATTATTTTGAGTGAAGAAAAAGAATATGATTCACAAAAAAATTAATATGGAAAAATGAAATTAATAAATTTTTAAAAAAACCATAAGTGTGAAGAACAAAAATACTAAGAAAAAAAATTGTTATATAAGGCTGAGTGCCAATAAAGGCAGCAACCAAGTATTTCCAAATAATAATTACGGGGGGCAACTCGTTGGTTAACACGAAAGAGAAAATTTTGTTGCGCGTAGTTAAATAAGTCATCTCGTGGTATTAATTAATTTTTGATCATCCAATTATTACTGTATCAACTCTGATTTAAAAAAATTAATTATGTTCAAATCAATATATCTCATCCACGGAAAAAAGAAAAAAAAGAGGGAGAGAGAGAAAAGAAAAGAAAAGAAAAAAAAGAAAAGAAAAGAAAATCAAGATAAGGGCATGAATCATAGAATAACCTTGAAGTGAGGATATTTGTTGTGCGAGGAAAGTAACAATCCGAGAGGTGCTTTACACGAGAGTCCTAAATTTGTGAGTTTTGAATTTTTTTTAATTTTTAATTTTTGTTTTTGGAAATTCTCAAAGCAAAATCAATCTGAGAACAAAAACTGAGCTGATTTTTCCTGCTATTCTTTATTGGTGATCCTGTTCAGAAATCAAAATGAATTTACGGGGTGTCCCATCTCACTACGAAGATTAACAGCCGTGCAATAGATCTCTCTGGCGATTAGTTTATCATGGCCATCCCAACTTCACTGATTCGTTATGTTGATTAACATTTAGGTGTCATTGGGTTGTATCTAAAAAATTGATTTTTAGGATTTTTATTTACAAAATTTTTATTCTTTGGTTTAATATAAAAAATAATAAAAAACTGTAGAAAAATTCAAAAAATTCATTTTTTTAAACAACTTGAGAATTATTTGTTGAAATAATTTTTTTGAGTGTAAATTATTAATATTTTAAATTCAAGTTATTCAATTGTAATATTACGTGTCTTATATGCAAAAATATTTCAAACCACAAATTCATGTAAAATGTAATATTGGAAATTTATTTTCAATATTCAAATAAGCATACTTGAAAAGAAAAAAATTATGAAAATAACTTTTTTTTTGTACATCTTTTTATGAACTCTTCCAAACTAATCAAAAGAAAATAATATAATTTAAACAAATTAAAGAATACAAAAGGTTATTATTATTATTATTATTATTATTATTATTATTATTATTATTATTATTATTATTATGATGTCTCATGTCCATGTTAACTTAAGACTAA